ACCCATTCACTCATTCACTCAAGCATGCTGACTTCACACCCCTGGCCCTCATGGAGGGAAGGTAGAGGTTGGGGAGATCAACAAGAAACTGGCCAGTCCTGTCACGACATCAAACAGAGCTCACCATGTTCCCCTGTGTCTGCTCTTTGTCCTGTGTCCTCAGCATCTCCAAGGACATTCTAGCCAGATTTGAACTTATTCTTTCACCCAAACTTTGTGGGGCATCATTACAGCTGATGTGGTGTCAGCTGGCCTGGCAGAGCGTGGCTGGGAAGGGTATTGCTTGCAGAGGGGCGCTGGGGGGCTTGGCATTCCCCATGAGCCTGGGGGAGGTCAAGTCAGTGGGGAGCAAGCCTGAGTAAGGAGCCGTGGGGCACAGGCCCATTCCCCTGCAGCCTCTGCCCTGTCTCTGCTGTGCACTGGTCAAGGTGGACACTGGCCTCACCCTGCCTTTCCCAGTTCCCTGGGAGGTGGCATCGGGATTCAGTATTGCATCTGCTTCTTCGTGGGTCGGCGGGTACCAGGAGGCCAGGGGTGTGTGAGCAACAAGCAGCAAGGAAGCTGAGACCTGGGAGCACGTGGCATGGATCCTGGCCCGGCCCCCTGTGGTGCCCAGGGTTGCTGGCCCAGGCTGGTCCTGCTGAAAGGCGAAGGACCGGCTGATGGGCCCCAGCGCTCCAGTACCAACTAGCCGTGTGACCTTTCACAAGGGCCCTCCGCAAGTGCTACTCTGCACTGCAAAATGGGGGTGCCAGCACCGACCTTGTAGGGCTGTTGGGAGGATGAAGGGGCAGGTGTGCAATGGGCTGAGTCACAAGAACCTGCCCAGCAGGGTCCGTGTGGCCTCACAGGTGCTTTTGATGAGAAACGACTCACTGAAGGCCCAGGCTGGTGACAAGAGCGCCACAAGGAGGCTCATGCTCCGCCCATTCCGTGCACCTGATGTCCAAAGGAATCAAAAGAAAAGGGAAGGGGAAGTCTGTGTGTGAACCCGGTGTGGGCTCTGAGATTGGAAAAAGTTTCTAAGATTTGGACTCTGCAAACTGCCGCTGCTTTGCCTAAACTCTGCACCAAGGACCCGGGCTGCAACCGTCACGGGGCCTGTCCCCTTCTCTCTGCCCTTCCACGCTTTAAGCCTCCGGCTTTCCCATCCCTGAGACACATGCCTTGGCCGTGCCGTTTCATAGCCCTTTCCCTTTAAGGGTCAAGGAAGGAGCCACAAACTCCAGATCCCTGCGGAGTTCACAGACTAGCTCCTGCCACATAGTGTCGCCTCCCTTGGCAGCACCCCTGACACCTCCAAGAGCGCCTCTGTCTTTTATTCCTGAGTGGCCTCGCACACCTGCCACTGGAGCCCCCCATTCCTGGCCTGAAGACGTCCTTTGGCTCAGACACCCTAATGGCCTCTGCCCCCCCACCCTGGCCTGCCTCTTTTTCCCTCCTAACCTCCTGTGGGGTCTTCAAAGCACAAATTGGATCCTGTCACTCCCCTGGGTAAAACCTGTTTACAGCTGCTGATGCAACGAAATAAACTCAGCTCTGCACAGCGGCTAGTGGTGCACTTGGCTGCAAGTGACAGGATCAGTGTGCTGAATGAGAGGAATGTGACCAGCTGGCTCTAGCTCAAGGCTGTGGTCTCTCCCACTGCACCTCCAGGCATCCTATCCCCTTTTCAGTGGGTACAGAGGGAGCAGGGTCAGAGGTCAAGAGGTGTGCCACAGGTGTGTTTTGCCTGTTTTACAGCTTTCTCAGAAGCTGTCAGACATATGGCCAACTCCAGTGGCAAGCAAGGGGATGGACGCGGTGGCTCATATCGGTAATCCCAGCACTTTGGGAGGCCAAGGCCAGCAGATCACCTGAGGTCAGGAGTTTGAGATTAGCATGGCTAACATGGTGAAATCCCGTCTCTACTAAAATTACAAAAAATTAGCCCGGCTTGGTGGCTGTGCCTATAATCCCAGCAACTCAGGAGGCTGAGGCAAGAGAATCGCTTGAACCTGGGAGGCATAGGTTGCAGTGAGCCAAGCTCGTGCCATTGCACTCCAGCCTGGGCGACGAGTGAAACTCTCAAAAAAAAAAAAAAGTCTGGCAAGGTGTTTTGACTTGGACATCCTGAAGCCCAGAACAAATTGAGATTTCAAGAGCAGGAAGGGTCTGAAGTTGCCACTTAGGGTGCCACTGTCCCCAAGGCGCTGCCATGTGACCCAGCCTCGTGGCCCTCTTGAATGTCTGGCCCTATGGTCCTCTAGGCCCTGCTTCGCCCCCTCCCCATCTGCCCTTCCAGGTACCACGCCCTGTCCCTCTGGCACCGTCCACTGCTGCTCCTCCTTTAAGACTCTGCTCAGATTCGTCCCCCAGTTACTCTCCCAAACCTGACTAGAAAAGCAAATCAAGCAAATATTTTTTTTGTTTTTGTTTTTGAGATGGAGACTCGCTCTGTCACCCAGGCTGGAGTGCAGTGGCACAGTCTCGGCTCACTGCAACCTCCGCCTCACCAGTTCAAGCAATTCCCCTGCCTCATCCTCCTGAGTAGCTGGGATTACAAGAACATGCCACCATGCCCGGTTAATTTTTGTATTTTTAGTAAAGACGGGGTTTCACTGTGTTGGTCAGGCTGGTCTCAAACTCCTGACCTCAGGTGATCCACCTGCCTCGGCCTCCCAAAGTGCTGGGAATACAGGTGTGAGCCACCACACCTGGCCATCAAGCAAAGTTTATCCAATGGAATGCCATGCAGCCGCCCGCAGGAATGAGGACAGTTCAAACACACCAATAGAGATCCCTGTTGAGGGTTGGATTGTGGCCCCAGAAAGACATGTTGAAGTCCTAACCCCAGGCAACTGAATTTGGCATGATTTGGAAACTGGTCTCTGCAGATTATTTTAGTTAAGATGAGGTCATACTGGCATAGGGGGTCCCTTAATCCCACATGACTGGTGTCGTTATAAAAAGAGCACACACAGAGAGACAGCCAGGAGAAGGCGGCAAGAGACGGAGGCAGCGATGGGACGTATGCGCTCATAAGCCCAGGGACACCAAGGATTCCCAGCCACCCCCAGAAGCTTCGAAGGAGCAGGGAACGTCCCTCAGAGTTCCGATAAGGAATCAACCCTGCCTGCAGCTGGAGTGTGGCCCTCAGAACTGCCAGAGAACTCATGGCTGTTGTGTAGCCACAGCGTGTGGTGTTTTGTGACAGCAGCCGTAGGAGACGAATGCAATCTCCAAGATCACTGTTGAGGGAAGACAGCAAAGAATAGAACAGTCAGGACCTCGGCCACACTTCATTTGTGGGGGATGGAGACATTCCCCCCTCCCCCGCTGCATGCTGGCACTTGCCCAAGATGTGCTGGATGCCCTCTGGGAACGGGGGGACTGTCCTCTATTCAGGACGACAGGCTGACCCTGGGGGAGGTGGAAGGTTTTCCTCTTCACTGCACAACCCTGGGTTTTGGGTGTATTTTTAGTTTTTATCACCTTCATATATCACTTATTCTAAATAAATAAGTGGGAGGCCAAGGCGGCGGGGGAGGGGGGGATCACTTGAGGTCAGGAGTTCGAGACCAGCCTGGCCAACATGGTGAAGCCCTGTCTCTAAAAAAAAAAAACAGGCCGGGCGTGGTGGCTCATGCCTGTAATCCAAGCACTTTGGAGGCCAAGGCAGGCGGATCACCTGAGGTTGGGAGTTCAAGACCAGCCTGACCAACATGGTGAAACCCCGTCTTTATTTAAAAAAAAATAAAAACAAAAAGCCAACAACAGCACTCCTGGCAGATGTGTTGGTCCTGCCTGTGAGGCCACTGAACTGGGAGGTAGGAGGGAGCTGGCGCCTCCCCACCCCTTCACGGTGCTCCTTGCTGCGCCACCCCTCACTTCTGAAGGGCTGGCCTGTCTGTGTGCTGTCCCCAGAGGGCAGGCAACTGCAGGGTTCATGGAGAAGCCCCAGAGTGAGCAGGGCTCAAGAAACGTTTGTGCTCTAATCAGTTCCTGACAAGGGTCACGCTGGGGCTTTCCGGAGAGCGCAGATGTGTGGAGAGATCTAAAGTGATGGGGCCTAGGACACCACTGCCACAGGCCCCACCCAAGCTGCCCCAAGAGACTCAGCCACCCAGGCCTGGAGAGGCAAAGGGGCTGCCAAGGCTGGGCATGGAGGAGCCAGGGAAGGAGGCCCTCTCCTAGCCCATGGCCCGTGTGTCCCCCACTCCTGGGAGCTTCCCCCAGTTTATTTCAGAGTAAAGAGAAGTGAGAGACCAGGAGACCCCAGCGTTCAAAGCCAGCCTCCTCCCGGCCTCCTACCTCCCTGTAAAGCCCAGCTTCACAAGCTGGCACTAGGATTAAATGGGCACGGGAATTGGGGCCCCTCCCGACTCTCCCTTGTCAGTGGGCAGAGCTTCTTGGCTCAGCGGTTGGAGGGAAAGGCTCCAGGGCTGGTGGCTGCAGAGGCTCAGGGTGCCCAGGACTGACTCCAGGGGGCTGAACAGAACTGCAGGTGAGGTGGCAGTGAGACCCCCGCAACTACACCTTTGGCAAAGCTTCTGGAAGGCCTCTTCCAGGAAGCCCTCTCTGACCTCCTAGGCTGGGTTAGGTACAATTGTGCCCAGGTTGCCCAAGTGGCTGAAATGCTCAGCTCCACTCAGACCTCCCCTCCTCCAGGAGGCTGTTTTTGAGACACCCCCAACCCCTGCTGCCCCGCCCGCCAGTGTCCCTCACCACAGGCCTCTCATTGCTGGGATGATAACAGCAGAGAGGCATTTGCTGAATGGCTGAGGCTGTACCCAGCGTGTTCATAAGCTTGACATTTCAATCCTCACGCCTTCATTAGCTCAACTTGCAGATGAGGAAACTGAGGCTCTCAGATTTATCCATAACCACCCAGGTCACATGGCCAAGGCCGTTGTCAGGATCGGAGGGCACACAGAGCCCTGAGCCAGCCCCTTCGACTCCAGGGCAAGGGTGTTGAATGAAGCCCTTTCCTCCACCACACGCAAAGGCAGCCGCACCACTTACAAAACAAAGAACACTTTATTCCCGTGACGGTTTCTGTAGAGCGATGCCAGGCTGTGCGAAGCCCAGTGTTGTCCTCATTAGGCACACTCCCCAGGATGCCCAGAACGGCCCTCTTCTGCCCCAGACCCCAACTAGCCACCCCACCAGCAGGCCCTGCACCTTCACAGGGACAGAGCCCTGGCACTGAGAATGCCTTGGAGGCACCATGTGCTGGGGGCAGAGAAACTGACCTTCGGCTGTGGCCAGAGGTGTTCCAGCCCTAGTGAGGGACATCTCATACTGCTCTCTGCTGAGCCTTCTGCACACTTCAGGGAATCCTGGCTGGCAGTGGTGGGTGGGCCAGAGACTCAGGTGTCCATCAGCTGGCCATGTCCCCATTTTATGGATGGGCAGCCCGAGGCTGGAAAGCTGGAAGGATTTCTCCTTGCCACAGCTGCATCACACTTGAACTGTCAAGACCTCCACCCACTGGCCTGTCTGCTCCCCACCCTAGTCCTGTGGGCTTATATGGTGCCTCCAGCAGATGCCATGGCTTCCTGGAGGGCAGAGGGTCCCCAGTTCACCCTCTGGAGTGGCAGCAGCCGGGGTACCCCTAGCGGTGTCATGTGGAGAAGCTGGGGTATGCAGAGGATCCAGTTCTTCGGCACCAGGAGGCACACTAAGGTGTCCTCTATCCCTAACCTTTAAAGACCAGAGGGGTGGCCAACAAGCCTGCTGGGTGGAGGATATGTGGAGTTATCCGGTCCCTGGGCCGCCCATTGGTGGGCCATCAGAGACCTCCCCAGGCGCCAGCCTGTAGCGCAGAAGCACAATGGCATGGCCGGGACCCGGGAAGGAGCTGGAGTGTCTGCCTGGGTTTCCATGGTAGTGGTGCGGGGCACAGCATGGCCTCAGCCAGGCCCGGTGCCGGCTGCTGCGCGGAATAATCTCTGACCTTGGTGACTCTACAATGTGGATATGAGGGTCCCTATTTCATAGGCGAGAACACTGAGGCCAGCGGAGTGAAGTTCTCGGCCCAAGTCACCCAGTTGATAAGCAACATTCAACCCTGGTCTGACAGTCCACAGCCCACAGCATCCCAGGAGGAGCAGGGCAGTCGGCTCAGGGGCCAATCTACGTCTGGAGTTTCCGAGAAGGGCCCCGGGGAAGGAGGCAGGGGGCGAGCCTCACAGGCTGGAGGGCTGCGCCAGGGCGGGTCCCGCAGGGGTAGTGGGCACAGCCTCGCCCTCGGGCCTGGCCTCCTCGCCACGCGCATAGGTGAGCACCACAGTGACGGTGGCGAAAGTGGCGGCGTTGACGGGGAAGGCGCGCAGCAGCGTGGACGCCAGTCCCCGCGTGAAGACGCGCCAGCCCTCGGCGCGGTAGCTCTGGCGCACGCAGTCCAGGATGCCGCGGTAGCGCGGGGCGCCCCGCAGCCCGTCCGCCTGCAGCCGCGATTTGACCACGTCCAAGGGGTAGGTGGAGAGCCAGGACACGATGCCCGACGTGCCGCCCGCCAGCAGCAGCTTGGGCACCAGCAGGCGGTCGCCCGGCTCGCAGCCCAGTGCCCGCGTGAGCACGTCGTAGGTGAGGAAGTAGACGCCGAAGCTGGGCGTCTCGCGCAGCAGCGTGGACACCATGCCCCGGTTGACGCCGCGCAGCCCCTCGTTTCCGTAGATCTGCGCCAGGCAGTCCAGCGAGCCCTTGTAGGCGCGCCCCGGGCCCGTGTCCTGCAGCTGCAGCCGCGTCTTGGCCAGCTCCATGGGGCAGCAGATGACGCACTGAATGGCGCCCGCTGCGGCGCCCGCCAGGAACTGGTTCAGCGGCGAGTCGTGGCCCAGGGCCCGGAGGGTGTTGCCCTGCACCCCGAACACCAGCGCGTTGATGAAGGTGAGCCCCATGAGCGGCGAGCCCAGGCCCTTGTACAGGCCCAGCACCTGCGGGGACAGAGACGCCCTCAGGGCCAGCTGTGCGCATCACCCGGGCCCTGCACGCGGAAGGGTGGGGGCATGGCAGCCCCAGCCCACCCCACGGGTTCATGAGGACCAAGCAGAATTTTGCGAGAACCTAAGTCCTGACTGGCCTCGCGGCCGTCCTGACATCTTCCTTCCCAGCTCTCTGGTCTGGGGCAGTGGCAGCCCGAGGCCGGCTCCCCATCCTGAGCCTCCCGAGCCCCAGCAGCCCAGGCTACTCACGCTCTCTTGCTTGATAATGGACTTGAAGCAGTGCAAGGTCCCGCGGTACTGAGGCTTGTCCACACTCTGGACCTGAAGCCGCACCTGGAAGGAGAGGGCCCAGTGAGAGGCGGACAGGTGGGGCCAGAACACCCAGCTCCCCACTCCAACACTCAGGCTGCCTGGGAGGGTTCTCCCAAGGAGGCGGGGCACTCAGCCACAGTCTGAGGCTTTTGTAATTCCAGGGCAGGGCGGGCCAGGTGTCCATGCCTCCTCAGGGTGGGGTGCCAGTGGGCAAACAGCTACAGGGACAGGCTGCTGGAGACAGGGTGGGGGACCCCAAGATCTCAGACCAATTGCGGTTGAGCCTCTTGTCTACACTGTGGTCGCACAGTGCACTGCCAGTGGGGCATGAACAACCTCCTGAGACCAGCCCATTCTCCGGGTGATGCCTGCCATACTGCTGAGTGAGCGCCCATGTCCCAGACCATGGTTGAAGGGCCCCTGGCCTAATGTCCCATTAGGGACTGGCTTCAAGGCAATAGGTGCTAAAAGTGATGAGCCTGGCTGGGCGCTGTGGCTCGGGCCTGTAATCCCAGTACTTTGGGAGGCCGAGGCGGGTGGATCACTTGAGGTCAGGAGTTCGAGACCAGCCTGGCCAACATGGCGAAACCATGTCTCTAAAAATTAGCTGGGCATGGTGGCACACACCTGTAATCCCAGCTACTCCAGAGGCTGAGGTGGGAGAATTGCTTGAACCCGGGAGGCAGAGGATACAGTGAGCACACCACTGCCTCCAGCCTGGGCAAGAAAGCAACACTTCACCTCAATAAATAAATTAAAATAAAAGCAATGAGCCTTGGCTCCAGAAACTCCTGCCTGGCCTCTGCCAGTAGCCTCTCATGAGAAGAACAGTTATGAGTTAACAGAGCGGCAGCAAGAGAACAGCCAGCAACCCCCTTGGGGACCCACGTCATCAGCTCTGGGACTTGGGACGTTGGTCAGGCCCCGCCGCCCGCAAGCCAGTGGCCCAGAACTTCTTCCATGTCAAAGCGCTCTTTGTTGCCTATGAGCTTATCTCTGCTCCACAGCAGGCTCAGAGTTGTTGGGAGGGGGTGGGAGGAAACTAGGTCAAGTCACATTCTCAGGGTCTGGTTCCCTAGGTCTGACTGAAAAATGGCCATTCTCACAGCCAGGGCCACAGAGCAAGTGCCTTTGGTACTACGCAGTATGGGACAGGGGAGGGCTTCACATTCATTATCTCTGGGCATTGGAACAACTGCCCCCATTTCCAAGATGGGAAGACTGAGGCTCAGAGATATTTTATAACTTGGCCAAAGCTGTCCTCTCCAGGGACAGGAGCGGCTATGTTTGTCAGGGTGAGGGTGGGACGGGGGTGCTGGCAGAGCAGAGCCCTCACTGGGGAACAGCCAGGCTTTAGCCAGATTTTATAACCTTTTCCAATTCTCTCCACCAGAATAGGTGGGTCCTCTTATTGGTGAATGCATTTACAAAAAATGTTTTGTTAGGAAACAAGCCCCGCCTCAGTACCCCCAGGACCTCAGCAGCTGGAAGCCAATGCTTTGAGAAACTGGGCAACTGGTTCCCGCTGTGGCGATTCGCTGAAGCACCCCCCCACCCTGGAGGCCCAGCTCTCAGCCAGCACCTTGATGTGAGTTTTGCTGCTTTCCCTTCAGTGATCTAGGGTCTCTAGGGGGGATCTCTCTTCCTCCTGCAGCACCACCACTGGCACCAAGAGGGCTGTGTGAGTAAAACTTATGTGGCATGGAGCTGTCCCTTCCCAGGTCTGATACTCAGTGCCACCTGGGGAGTGTTGTGAAGCCTCCGCAGGCCAGACATGGGTGACTGCCCGAGTCTAGCTGGCTGGGGAACATCACGCTTAGGTCAACTCAGCTGCTCCCACCACTGTGGGCAGAGGCCTCTCCCCAGTTTATTTCTGACCCCTCAGTCTGTGACGAGCCCTCGCTCTCTGGGAGATGTCCCAAGTCTTCTAATCTACAGCTGAGGCTCTTAAAATCTTGGGGTGACAGGATCTCCTTTGAGGGCTGATGGGAATGGGCCCACCCCTGGGAAACTAAGTCATTTGTACTCAAGCTCAGGAAGCTCCCAGCTCCCCGTAGGTCCCACGTGAGGACCCCCAATCCAGAGGGGACTGATTTTTTTTTACCAGCCTGGTCCCCCACCCCAGGACCTGTGCTGGGCCCAAGCTTGCTTCATACCCTCCCTGTCCCCTGCCACGGAGGGAACTGTGGGGTTGGGGAGATGGGCATGACAGGGTGGGGTCCAGGGTGGGGTCTGGTTCACCTGGTCTGTACTTACTAGCGCTCTCCAGGGTGAGGCTTACGCCCATCTACAACAAAGTTACACTTTTGCTATGGAGACAGCCCCTAGCTCAGAAAGTAAAGGCGGTTAAAGCAACACAAAATTTCAACATCACATCTAGGCGCGGGGCCCCCACAGCCAGCCCCCACCCTTCTTCCCCGTCCCCTGCCCAGGGATGGCCAGTCACCCCCTCATCACAGGTCAAGATGACTGCTCCCTGACTCTTGTTGTGTCCAAGGAAGCAGGACAGAAAACTCCCCTCCTGCAGAATCACGTGTGAAGACCGTGCACTTCAGCACGGTGGCTGTATTTCTGCATGCTATGGAGAACCAAATTTTGGGTTCTTTCAGTCCCAAGGGCCTGGGAGAATAAGCTGTGACTGTCCCAGCCATGAGATGGTCTGTAGCATTTGACAGTATGGACTGACGAGGACTCGGGTGGCCCGTGATGATTCTGGGGTACAGCTGCAATTATATTAAGTTCAAACCAGGCAAAAGGGTCCCGGGGTGTTAGAAGTCAGGACAGTGGGCCAGGCCTGTTATCCCAGCACTTTGGGAGGCCAAGGCAGGAGGATGGCTTGAGTCTAGGAGTTTGAGACCAGCAGGGCAACAAAACAAGACCTCATCTCTACTAAAAACTTAAAAATTAGCTAGGCATGGTGGTGTGTGCCTGTCATTTCAGCTACTTGAGAGGCTGCGGTGGGAGGATTGCTTGAGCCTGGGAAATCAAGGCAACAATGGGTTATGACTGCACCACTGCATTCCACCTGGGGTGACAGAGCAAGACCCTGTCTTAAAAAAAAGGAGGAAGTTAGGCCAGTGGAAGCCTTGGAAGAAGGGGAGCGAGGAGTTGGTAGGAGCAGGAACGGGCGCTTCGAGAGGGCTGGCCATGCTCTGCTTCTCCTGGGTGGCGGCTCCCCACGCGTGTGCTTTGTGATGACTTGTGCACCTGGACTGTGTGCATGTTCTACATGTGCTGAACCTCAATTCAAAACAAACAGCAACCAGGCACGTGCCTGTGATCCCAGCTACTCGGGGGGTTGATTCTCCTGCAGGGACTGAGGCAGCAGAATCACTTGAACCCAGGAGGAAGAAGTTGCAGTGAGCCAAGGTCGCGCCACTACACTCCAGCCTGAGTGACAGAGTCACTGTCTCAAAGGAAACAAAAGTTCAGGCCAGGTGCGGTGGCTCACACCTGTAATCCCAGCACTTTGGAAGGCAGAGGTGGGTGGATCACGAGATCAGGACATCAAGACCATCCTGGCCAACACAGTGAAGTCCCATCTCTACTAAAAATACAAAAATTAGCTGGGCGTGGCAGCCCACATCTGTAGTCCCACTCCTCAGGAGGCTGAGGCAGAAGAACTGCTTGAACCTGGGAGGCCGAGCTTGCAGTGGGCCGAGATCACGCCACTGCACGCCAGCCTGGGCGATACAGCAAGGCTCCTCAA